ACATAAAACACCAAAAAGATTGAGTATAAACCCAAACCTTCTAACACCTGAAACATCCAGCATCATTACAGTCGCTGGCGTGCTGCAACGAAAGGCTAAACCCGTTAGAGTAAAACCTCAAAACGGATTCCCCAGTTGATATCTTGTTCTGCTGTTGAACCTCACCTTAACCTAAGACTGGGGTGTGCAGGCAGACAGACATAAAGCTCTAATCTCCTGCGGTTAATTCTCCCTCAGCCTCTTAAATCCTCCTTAGTGCCATTGTGGGGCTGACGCAAAACAGGGGTCCAGCGCTCGGGAGGGGGCTGGAAGAGGGAGGGAATTTCAGAGTCTTAATGTGGATGTATGGTGAACGGGAGGTGGTTGGATAGCACTCAATGTGTGTGTGTGTGTGCAAAGAGAAAAGATGGGAGGGGGATTCCCCACCGGTCAGCAGGGGTCCATGTGGCTGAAGACAGACTGTTAATAGAGAGAAGATAGACAGCCTACCCTGCTGCTGTTTTTAACCCGGGGAAAGAAGCTCCAGACACATTCATCATATTAATAAGGATGAAATGAATGATTAATGCCGGTGATTGATTGTGGGCTCAGTCTCTAATGAGCCCCTCAAATTTTCCTCAATAAAGACATGAAGCCACATCTGATAAACCAGAATCTCCGTGTGTCTTTGTTTCATTTGAAACAAAAAAAGAGGGACAATTTAGCACATTACCAGATACCTTCAGTCCTTCAGAATCAATAGAGGAGCAGCTTTTTACAGATATATATTGTTAGGTCCAGTCAATACTGAAAAAAGAGTCGGTGTTGTTATATAGTGGCCGGGGTTTTGGTTACAAAAGGCCCATTTATTTCACTTTTATAATATCCGTTTTGCTCTTATTGGTGTGTGTGAGACTCCCTGTGATGGCGCAGAGAGGCGGGGAGCAGCGAGGTGCAGATGGGCTGGGAGTGATAACAGCACGGGATGAAAAGGAGAGGATGGGAGACAATGAGGGATGGAAAAAGGAGGGGAGGAGAGGGGATACGTGGAAGTCAAATGGATGATAAAACATCAGAAGGCAATAAAGATGAGGAGAAGTGTAAAGCTGCCACCTTGGCGCCTGATGTCTGATGCTCTATTTATTTCATCAACTTTTGTTTTCGGCACCTTATACGACTTTACGCGTTTATGTCAGCGGCAGATATGAAATGTTTCTATTTGTGGACGTGTTTATGTGCGCACGCGTTCATCCTCATGCGTGTGTCAGGTTTGTGTTAATAGAGATGAGAGGCGCCGGGTCAGAGCATGGCCATGCATAATTCATGAGGCAGATTTGGCAGAGGGGTCTCAGGGGAGCCCTGCGCTATTGTAGTGGCTGCACACATAAACAACACAGCGTCACAGGGAGCTAGTTTCACCGTGGGGGTGGTAGTGGGTGGTGGGCACGAGCAGGAAAAAGGATGGGGGGGGGAAATATCAGGGGAAAATAAGCCCTTTACAGCTCTGATAGAGTCTCCCGCGCTGGCTGCAGCTCGTTCATGTCAGGAAGGGGTTTGTTTACAACGCGGCCTTTGCGGGAGTCATTTACCTACTGTCTGTTTAATGTAATTAAACTGGGGGATAAGATCATTTAATTAGCATATCAAAGCTTATCATTAAATTTAATTGAGAGCTAGGGGTTGTGTTTTTTTATTGCAAAAGCAAAAGTGTGTTCACTCATTTCCACTGAAATAAATCTGATGGTTCGACTCACCGTCCAGGTCATGCTTGTGCTCCGTGGAGTAGGCTTTGCCGATCATTGTCCAGACAGGCCGCAGACACCCAAACAACCCCTCCAAAAACCCTCCTCCCCCTCCTGTAGACTGGCACTGTAACCTGGCGTCATTCGCCTGGCTCCTGACCGCACTGCTGTCCATATCCTGTCCCTCTCCCTCCGTCCTTCCAGGGCCGCCATCGTGTTCATGGAGTTTCAGGACACTGTTGGCAAAGTGCTCCTGTTGTTCCTCGCAGGGTGTCTGGTTGTGTCCGGTGGTGTGCCCCTCTCTTCCTCCACCCCCGGGTTCCACGGCGCCTCCGGTGTCTATGGAGAGGACGTTGCGAAGAACGCACTGGGTTGGGGTCAAGTCCATTTCTGGCGTGCAGGGTGTTTCGGCATCGAGGCGGCGAAAAGACGGAGGATCGGAGAGCGGTGTGTTGAAGCCGGAAAGAGAGGGCGATGGGGCGCGAGGTTCATGCATGAGGGCCATGAGTGACTGTGGTCATCAGAAGGACTGAAGAAAACTGGAAAAGAGGGAAAGAAGGGAATTTAAATTAAATAATATGAGTGAAATCAAGATTAAATAAAGTCTTTCTGAAAGTTGTCAGTAGAGAATGATTTTGCAGGACAGCGTAGTCATCTTTAGCTCCAGTTTAAGTAAAAAGAAAAAAGAAGCAGCTTCGGCTATTATGACGTCATATGTGCAAGTCTGTAGTCTAAGTCTGATAGGCAGACAAAGCACATCTTCCTGAGCCTCTCATCAATATCACCAAACTGCATTTTAAAGGTTTTGACTTCCTCCACAGATACAACAGACCAAAGGAAAAGATGGAGTTCAAGATCAGAATAAAAGATAAACATATAGATACAAAAATCCACAGACAATAATCGTTTTCTGCATTTCTTACAAACACAGAAAACAAGCTCTCTCATAATTTGGCTATTACAAGTGAAGGTGACAGGTGTCAGTCCACATGTACCCTGTAGTCGGGAGACTGACATCGACTGGGTAGATGCCAGTCGGTAGATATAAAACACTAAAATGTGAAAAATGGTTATGAGATAAAAGGACTTCCTGTCTGCAGCATAATAGCTAAGCCTTCAGTGGAGGGCACAGAAAATAAAGAGACCAACCCCCCGTTCTTAGAATAAACTGACACTGTTACAGAATATTACATGCTTAGCGTTCCATTGCTTTTAGTTTGGCAGGATTAACTCACTGCTCTGTAGTCCTAATGGTGAGAGAGCTGTTTATTCACATCTTACTCGAGTGACATTAAAATGGATAAGATTACAAAATAATGAGCAAATTCTGCAGGGTTCTGCAGGGCAGCAGCATCTGCACACTCAATGGAGAAGAAAAATGCATTATTTCTCACCAGAGCCTCTTAAAGTGAGCCACTCCTATGATGGACAAGCAACAAAAGGATTTACATGCTCGGTAAAACAAGAACACAAGTCAAAATGTTCGTGGTACTATCATCATCATGTTCAAGTTCAAGTTCTTGATAAAGAACCAGCAGAATATGAGGAACAGTCACAGCAATACAGAGCACAGTTTTGGAGTAGATGGGACAATAAGAAAACAGGGTACTTTTGTTAAAATCCCAAACTTGGAGCTCATCAATTTCCATTTCAGTCATTATGAGATGCACTTCATGCATTTCTACATCAGTCAATTTGGAGGTCAATTTGAGGCTAATTGAGTGAATTACCATTAGGCTACATCAACCATCCCACTGTGACACTCCCACCAGAAGTAAAGTGCTGATGTCTGATGAATGAGCTATTAGCCGACTTACCCAAGATGCATATAAACATCCATAATTCCCTGTCCTCAGATTAATCAGAGACTCTGAAACAAGGCAGAGTCAGCCTGGAGATTTCATTATCCGAGAAACTAACAACAAACCCCCAAGTCTGGAAAAACCACCCTCATTATTATGTTATGCGCTAAGAGAAACCCAAGCACTAAGACACATCTGGTGTACACATCAGTCACATCCGACTGATCCTGCCTCCTAATAGTCCTGCTCCGTTTCTCACTTTCTTTATTTCGAGGTGTCAGCTGCGGGAGCCGCAGGAGCAGCTACGGTCTGTTACAGGCCAGCGCATTGTGGATGTATCGGAGGCGCATCATTGCCTCTCTTGGCACCTCCTGCGGTTACGACCCGGTGCGCCAGTGGAGCATCACTGACAGCACTGAAGTTACACTCAAACGCACGATGGCACTTTAAATTGGGGAAAATAAAAAGAAGTAACGTGTTATTTATGCAAAGACCACCCGCTTCTCCTCATGCCTACCTGCCTAACAGCTCGCCTGGAAGAAGCTAATTTGACGATTCCTACCTCAATGCCGATAACTGGAGTCCATCGCTGATGACTGCAAAAGATTATTCCTCTCTAGGATTTATTGGTCCTTTCTGATTTTCTCTGTCCGTGTATTGAACATCCGCGCTCAGCCTTCTCTCCTCTACATCCAGTGCGGGTTTCCAATCGCAGCTCTCTGTGGAGGTCTGTTTTTCTCCTGCGTTAATTTCAAACGCTAGAAAACGCAGATATTTTTCCTTGTTTGGGTTGTTTTCTTGATCCTACACCTCCTCCCCCTTTTCAATTCCCCTCTGAGGATGCTGCGATATGCGCACTCCCAGGCAATTTATACGACCATCTCTCCCAGGCTGTAGTAAACACGAGCGATGGAGAGAGCGAAGCGAGGCTGTGTGGGAGGGAGGGAGCGCTGATGCCCTCCTATCAGAGGAGAAATCTGGAGTGACGAGTGCAGTCCGGTGAGACACGGGACAACCGCAGGTACACGGGCTCGAGTGAGGCTGCTCTTAGAGCAGGGAGGAGGGTCAGCCGGTGTGTGAGGTGACCAAAATGATGTCATTCTCAAAGCATGCAGCATTTGACTGGACAACATTTAAATCCCCTCAAAACCTATTAACGCCCTCTGTACAGAGCGCAGAGTAATTGATGGATAATCTGCAGACTCCGTCTGCCACAAAAGGGACACGAAGGAAAGACGTTTTTTTTTTTTTTTTTTTTTTTTAAATATATTATCATCATCATCTCCAATCTCTCCTGACCCATTTCTGTGAGACAGGACCGCACATGCAGAAGCTAAATGGGACTGTCCCCCAGCGTCATTTGTTTCCCTAAGCGACCATAATTAACCTGAATGAAATAAAATATCAAACTAATTTAAACAACTGTCATTTTTTCTAACACAAAGCTCAGCTCTGTTTGAGGAACCACGCCACCAGCAGATAACTGCCTTCACCTTAAATAAAGTTATTATTCAAGGTATTTTCAAGGCCTTGGTACAGAGCACACATGGTTCTCCAACACCCCAAATATCATACAAACAAGATCCAGGAAGCAACATATACATTTTAAACAAAACGAGACTATTAAAAGTACAAAAAGGAGAAACTCTGATGAGGACAAACTTTTTATATTATTTCACAAAAACAGTCTCCTTTAAACTTGCAATCAGATCGGATTTTCAGACTTTTTGTTTTTAACAGTAACAAAAATAAAGAAGTAACACTTGCAACATTTTAACCATATTCAATCCATTTTTTTCCAGGATGTTTCAGGATTTTGTCAAGCCATTTCATGGGAATATTGACACTGAACAACAATATTACAACTTTAGAGAAATGCTGCAAGATGAACAGGATCCCGTTAACTGAGAGGCTAAGAAATGAGTGTAAACAGTGGAGAACCTCCAGCTAAAAAGCATAAAGGGCCGTGAAACAGCTGAGGATGCCGTGGCTGAGCTTTGTCTTTACTGAGAGTGTAAATGGTTGTAGCTACATGACCCTTTTGAGTGGTAAATCCAAATCCAGCCCTTATCTCCCAGATTAAGCCCGTGCTGGGCTTAAATCCATAACGATGACCTCATTGTGCCGCTTGTACACAGTAGGGAAATCCTAGCTAGCGCGTAGACAATCCACGGAGAGACCTGAAAACCACTCACAAACACGAGTATTCTCCACTTTCTCCTCCTACTAATGAATGCTGTATGAAGTCACGATGAAAAAAGATCACTGTGCCGGCTCAGTTTGATGCCCCTCATGAAATCTGAGCAAGGAGAAACTGATTGCTTCTGTTTTCATTTATTCATCTTTGAGTCATTCTGTGTCTACCCAAATCCTCGCCAAGTGAAAATAAGACATATTTTCTTTTTTTTTAAAGCTTGAAATAAGATTTGTAATAAAGAAACAGACTGAAAACAAGAGTTCTTTTATAATTCTGTCCATCAAAGGGGACCGAGAGCAATAGCAAATTAATACTGGGCCTATTAACAATTTAATAAAGAACACAGTCAGACTCTGTGAGAGACTAAATTATCCTTTTCAGTACTTCTAAATATTTAATTACTTTATTTTGATAGTAATTTTTAATGCTTATCATTTTCAAATGTGAAGGAGCATTATCTCATAGCTTACTCTCCCAAATGAACATTCAAAACACCCTTGCCAAAAAGCAGTTTATGAATGTTTCATTTGGGTTTTAATATCACATGAAGAAGAAACTGGGCTTTGCAAGGAAAACCCAGTAGTTTTAATCAGTCTCGCTATTTTATGCCATCCCCATCTACAATCCTCTTCTCACTGTGTCTTAAGGCGGTCTGAATAGAGAAGCACTCTCTGTTTTTTTCCTCTATTTCAATCTTTTTCGTTAAAACTTTCTTCATGATTTATTCAGTGGAGCTTGTAGTTGCAGGAAGGCCCCTCGTCAGTGATGCTCAGGCCTCTAAGGATTAACGCTGCTGCCTCTGATGTCCACCAACGCAGCTTCAGCTCCTGTTGTGGTAACTCCACCAGAAACGAGAACAGAAGTAACACTGAAGGGTATCGCGTGTTTTAGATACAAGCCGCCAGCCTGCACAGCGACAGCTTTTAAGAACGATACTCGATGGGGATCCCATTTACTTTTAAAACAATTACACAATAGATTTGGAATTCAGATTGCCTGGCAAATTACACTTAAACTCTTTCTGCTAGGGATGCACCGATACCGGTATCGGGGCCGATACTGTAAAATGTGTGTGTACTCATACTCGTAAAAGTTACCCGATACCAACTTATTTCATTAATCAGAGGGTGGCTTGTCATTTCTGTTGTAGTTTTTAGATTGGCCACTAGGGGGCCAATTATTATTTTATTTATTATTTATTTTATCATTTTTTCTATTTTATTATTTATTTAATAATAATTATTTTGTTTGTTTGTGTACAATATGGAAACTCTGCAATAATTTAAAAGTTTATTTTATTCGCAAACCTAATTTGTGTTTATTTTATTCCAAACAGAAGTGTTTATTTATTATTCTGAAAGCTCGAGACAATAGTTCAGTGATATTTTGTAAAATTACAATGTGGAGACTCTGCAATAATTTAACAGAAGTGCTTATTTTTCACTTGAAATTTTTTTGTTGTCATTTTTATTAAGATTTTATTTTTTATCGGCAGGGAATATAATAAAACCTGTCTTCCAATTCATTGTATTTGTGTGTGTGTGTGTGTGTGGTAGAAGTATCGGTTTTTGTACTCTGTATCGGCAAGTACTCAGATCCAAGTATCGGTTTGAAAAAATTGGTATCATTGCATCCCTACTTTCTGCATATATATATATATATTAAAATGAAAATCAAGCTTCTAAAGAGCAGTTGGACTACAGAGGTACTGTGGCGTCCATCCAAAAAGCTGATGTAAAAATGCAGCATTGTTTGGCAACATGTATCATAATCTGTAGGAGGGAATTAACAGACTCCTGCAGTGAAGAATGTCAAGAGGAATGTCATGTGTGTGCATGTGCGCATGCACGGCTCTGCTGCTGAATATACAGTATGTTTTTTGAGGCGTCGTGCCAAGTGGACACAGATTGTCCAAGTCCGGTTAGGAGGAAGGTGGTAGGGTATACGTGTGTGTGTGTGTGTGGCGGGATGTAGACTAGAGAATGAGGGGGGAGGGTTGCTTCTGGCTTACTTGAAAGGCTATTTATGGATCCTCATCGAGAGGCCCTTGTGTTACTCATTGTCACTTTCACTCACACGTAGCTGAATAGGTGGCTCATCATTAAAGCTCACTCAACTGTTCCTGAAGGCAAAGTTGAACATAAGAAGCAAAGATGATTTTCACACTGTGCTTCATCATCGTGTTGACTGGAAGCCAACAGCAGAGCGGCAGACATTTTTGGAGTTTTCTAATAACTGAAGAAAGGTGTGTGTGTCTGCATTTTTGTGCACCTGTGCCAACGTGCACTGCGGAGTGACTTCTTCCCGTTTGTTGGGGGAGGCTGATATTGGACAGCACTTTCATTAATTAGTTGTCAGTACTGTTTGCTTTATCCATATTGTATGTCGATGGGATTCATTAAGATTGGCACCAACCAGTATTGATGTGCGATGGGAGGGTGTTGCAAGTGGGTGGGGGGAGTCTCCATCCCAACAAGATGATCTCACCTCCTGTCTGCAGCTCGGGAAAAAAACAAAACAAAAAAACCCCAGCTTTCATTCATGAAGTCCATCCATTCACACATGCGCGTGCTCAGACACGTGCACACAAACACACACACATACAACCCAACGTGTCTCCTAATGGGATGCTGAGGAGACAGTTGTGCCAATGAGGCAATATTCAGGTGAGATCACTGCCGGATGCCGTGGCTCCTCTTTCCATTTCAAAACTCTAAAGGATGTGTGTTTGACACCTTTTATGAAACTCACCCACAATTGTGCAAAAAAACACCAG